CCAAGGAGTCCAAACGGATCCAATAGATATTTTCAATTTGGCAGAGGGTGAGTTTTTGGCATGGACATATGCACAAATATGTGTATCTGAGGTGGAAATCACTTCAGGGGAGGATATCCACATAGTGGCTCAGACATCGAATCAATATCGGTGTCAAGTAGATGGATACTGGAAGGATACAGATACAACCTCGGGATTGGGCTAGGTCTGTCTCCAAGGGGAAATCCCAGCTCTCTTAGGGGCAAAAGGATTAAGACAGAGGAGGTCGCCGCTGCATTCAGCAATGGAAGCACTGATTTGGGCGATGACATGCGTGTTGGAGTGCGGAATGGACTGCCATGCTTTTGAGACTGATTGTTCTGACCTGGTGGATATCGTCAAGAATCCAGCCGAGTGGCCCACATTCTCGATTCTCTCATACAAACTCTGGAGGATCCAATACCGTATCCCGAATTTTATTTTATCTTTTGTTTCCCGTTATGCACGTACTCGAGCTTTTGATTTTTCGTATGTAAGTAACTTGCTGCCGAATTGGATTACCAATTCTAGTGGCGTTTTTTGATTCATAGTTTGGTTGACCAAAAAAAAGATTAATTGCTTGGTTATATATGCATTAATATGAAAAAGTAGGAACTTCGGTCTCATTTAGAAGAAGGATCAACATAAAAGAGACGGCATGTGAGGTTTAGGGGTTGATTCGTTCACCCGGTACCATCCGTAAACGCAGCGTTTGCGAGTGGTAGCGGTTGTTGCCGTTTGACAACAATCATGGGAAACGCCTTATACCACTCTATGTCGCTCCAAACCTCTCAAATCCAAAAGCTGCTTCCATTGAGCGTTTGCGGTTGCGGTTGAATAATTACAAAAATAAAAATTGATTTTTCTTTTTATAAAAAAGAGAAGATTTACTTAAAAATCAAAACTAATATAATAAATTAAAAATTAATATTTTAGTAACTATAATTATGAAATATATCGATAATTTGAAACTTTCTAGTTAAAACTTAATAACCTATCATAATTTTATATTTATAAAATCTTCAAATCGTAATTTTTTTGATAAATTGTTCTTGATCACTGATTAATAAATGTAACAAGATAAAATGTTCAAAATCACATTAATCTCTCTAAAATAAAAAAAAAATTCTCATTAAAATCATAATTTTCATCTTTTTTTTCTACCCACAATCATAACTTTCGTCTAAACTAAAAATTTTAAAAAAGAACATAAGAAATATATTCATGA